TAATATCTTCATTGTCTTTTTTACCAGAATCAGTCTTAACTCTCTTAGTCATCTCCCATTATTCAACTCCTCTAACCAACCTTTGCTCAATATATGCTTGTAACTCCAGCATTATCATCTCACTTCATTTCTGCTCAACTGTATTTCTTTCTCTTTCGATTACTAATCTCTTACGCTCAAGAGCTAATGCCTGTCTTTGTAACTCTCCTTGCTGCTGTAACTGCTCTGTAAGAAAGTCAAACTTACTTATCTCTCTCTTGGATTTTGTGGAAGCTAAAATACTAATTGCATTAATGAGAGCAATCAATCCGCCTTTTTTTTTATTCATAGATTCTCATAGGTCCTTCTCAGAATTGAGTTGACTTCTACATCTTTATTCTCAAGCATTTCGGGAAAGCAATGTCACTTTGTACCCCTAATTGCTGAGGTAGACATCGATTAATTTCTAACTTAATTAGTTTCTTTTATTACCCTTTACCAATTAACAATTAGATAGATACAACTCACCTTCTTTCCTGTCTTCTTTGACTCACTTCTCTACTTTCTCCTTCACTACTCCTCTGAACTGCCCCTCCCTCTGCCATCCTACCCCCCCCTCTTCTAACCTCTGACCCAATTCATACCCCTTCCTCAATTTCCCATCCCTCTTCTTCTAAACCAATATCTTCTGTCCATTCCTCTTCCACTCTATCATTCTCTGCACCCTCTTCTCTCTACACTATCTTTCACTCTTCTCTCTCCTTTCCAATTTATTCTCACCTCTTCCACTCTATTTGTATCTTCTTCATTTGTACTCTTTCTAATTTCCTCAACACTGGTTGGAGTTACCATTGCACTTAGGAGAGTTTTGACTCCAGTTGCTTCCCCCTTACTGGAGCCCGAATTATAGATGGCTAGTGGATGTACATCTGGTCAGTCGCCTAAAATATTCTCCAAGCGAAAGAAGTTGAAGCACCATAATAGGAGTTTTTCTATAAGTATTAGCATACTGTCTTTTATTGTAACTCATCTTTTTTTTTCTTTTCATTTATTTGTATTAACTTTTTTTTTTTTTTTTTTTTCTTTCTCTGTCATATCTTTTACTTTTTCTTACCTCAATGTATCTACAAATAATGTTTAATATGCATACTTCTTAAACTCCTTCTTCCTTCATCTATATCTGTTTCAGTAAGTCTCCACCCCAATTTATTATTGAGCTTTGCAGCTGCCCTATATGATTTCAGAAGGTTATCATACTTGTAGCCAACCTTAATAGTAAGTTTTGTAGATATCTGTAGAGAGATCTCAGCAATGAGTAATTTTTTCGCAACTCCAGATTTTTTTTTTCATATTACGCAGACTGTCTAGATTCTCTAGCCACTGGATAAGCTGCTCATTCTCGTTTTCTATCCAAATTGAATGTGGACCATGGCACCCTCCCCATCTGCTACCCATTTGTTGCCCTTTAGCCATTATTGTAAAGAAGGAAATCTTTGTTTCTATTATGACACAAGTGAGGAATAAATTTTCTCTTACTCTACAACTGAAACCCTACTGAGCTCAACTTACCTCATTTTCAGAAGCTTCAAATTTATTACTTAAAATTCTTGAATACAATTAGCCACAATTGATATATACACTAATATGCACTAATATATACTAATGCACTACTGTGTGTCAATCATTTTACCTTCAACCATCATTTTAACTTTGAAAACTCCTAGTATCCCTTGATCAGATGACATGGTCAAACTTGTAGCCTGGTCCATGCCATCCCTGCATGGCAACCTCATGAGAATTTCTCATCGCCACCTTTGTAGAACTGATTTCCACTATTTGCGCTTGCGCATACTGGGGATTCATAATGCCTACAATACGAAAGCAGATACGGAACCAGAGGTCACTACAGTCCAGCAAGACCGGTGGAAGGAGAGGGGTAAAAAAAAGTACCGAGGATAATATTGGCCATTTATATGGTCCTGATTTACACTATTCTCCGCTGCCTCACTTATGCCATGAAGCTGAGGCACGACTTCCAAGTTATATAGTAAGTCTTGAAGCAGGTTACAGACTCAGCCTTATAATGTTTCTTACCTAACAGACCTATAGAATACTCATTCATCCAATAAGAAGTTAGCTCTTGAGATCTTTGAGCTATTTTGAAGCGAAGAAATCATTGGCATATTAGTGAAAAATACCAATGAGTATGCAAACAAAATGTGTGCCGATCAAGCCCCTCACTTTAGGCCTTGATGACCGATCAGTTCAGAAGAGATGAAGGTTTTCATTGGAATGTTGGTGACTATGGGTACCTATTAATGCAAAACGCCTGCAGATATCTGGAACATAAGTGGGCGTAGAACCCATACCAGATCTGGCCCGATTCAGCTCTATGCACCAGGATGGCCAAAACCTATTTCAAAAGCAATGTCCAACAATCGATTTTTTCAGATCAAGCGGTACCTCTATTTTCGCCCCTCACAGTTGACACCAGCAGGACCAACTGGTGGCATAAGCTGGAGCCAATCAATAGTAAAATGCAGAAAGCATGTCAGAAATATTTTCTGCCCTCCTTGCATATTACTGTTGACGAGATGATGATTCGTTTTGGTGGAAGGAGTAGGCATACTACCAGAATGCCTAATAAGCCTATAACTGAAGGTTATAAGGTTTTTGTTATCTGTGATTATGGTTATACATTAAATTAGCAGTTTCATTCTCCTTCTTGTGGTATTTCACATCTGTCTTCTTTCTATCAAGAACTTATTAGCATTTCAGCTTCTACAATAGCAGTTGTTTATCAATTGGTTGAACAAACTCTTCCGTATTGCACTCATCACTTTATTGTATTTACTGATAA